AAATGGGCATCTCTCTGGATGGTTATTCATCCATAGAACCTGCAATTCCTTTGTCTGCCTCCACCATAATTAAGTACCATGCCATTACTCCTCATAATTCGAAAATGAGAGATGCCATGACCCCTGCTGCAAAGATTCTCAAACACATATAAAAAACCTCTTCCAAAATTATGGAACTAGGAGAATCATCCTCTAGCATTCGAAAGAATCTCATTTTTAGCTTTGAAAATGATGATGATATTTCTGAAAGTGAGCATGAAGCAAATCATTAAGGAAATGAATTAGCTCAAAGAACATGATTCACAGGATGAGGAAGGACCCGAGGAAGTTACTGAATCTGAAAGAGTTAGAATTTTTATTGCACACCTTAAAAAGGAGTTACTGGAGGAATCTGACATTCAGGGGAGATTCTGGGGGGGGGGGGTATGAACGATGAGTGAAATTAATGTGATGAATGCTCTTCAATGGCTATGTTTTGTGTCTCTTTTGGTTCCATTTATGATTGTTCTGTTATTTTGCCATAAGGGCATATGTTAGTTTGAGTTTGTTAAGCCATAAGGGCTAAGTGAGTATGAGTCTGTTACGCCATAAGGTACAGAGTCATTATGAGTATGTTATCCCTTAATAGCAATTTGTTTCCGTCTTTGGTATCCATTTAAATAAAATTCATAAAGACGTATTTATGCTTTGCCGAGTTAGATCTCTCTTGTATTCTGGAGTGTATGTACTGGTACATGTTTTGTGTTCTTTTTCAGGTCTTCCAGAAGCAAAAGATTGATAGGCTTGTACGTAGGGGAGATTGTTGGTCCTTGTTCTACCTGGAATAAAGGCCAATGCAGCTTGATTTCATTCTCGTCATCAGAACTAGTCCATTGCATTCTATGAATCACCCATCAAGACCCGACATTATTGTATCTTTGCCATAAATCTTCCTCTGACTTTTCTGCATATCGATCACCCTTCTCAAAGAGCTCTCAAGGAATGCTGCTCTTATGGAATCACTCGAAATCAGCATGCAACGGTCATCTCAGTTAAGTTGACAGAGAAGGTTAGCTCGAGTGAAGCCTATTTAAGGACGCATCTTCTGCAGTATTCGGCAACGATTTCCAAAACTTAGTAGAACGAGTTAGTTCTTTGGGAGTGTTTGGGATGGGTTATGTTAAGTGTCTAGATAGCTAGAGTTGGGGCTTGTTGCTAGGAACTCTAGTTGATCTGGGAACTTCTTGTTCTTGTCACTAATTTTGCTGTTCTTCCCTAATTCAATTAGGTCTCTCCAATCTCTCTAGAGACCTTGTCTCTCCTTTTGATGTACAGGTGTACCCTAATCGAATTCAGCCTGGCTGCTTAATATATAAATATTCATTTATTTTATATGGAGTGAATTGTGTAAGACATAGCCATTTAACAGTTGATCCGCAGTGGGGTACTCCTACAAGTTGATGCGAGTTCCTCTCTAGTACAAGTAAAAATTTCTCCTGAAGAACTGACTGCATACTTGAGGATGTTTTTTTAAGGGGCGCGGATAAAGCTTCCAACCCCCCTTAAATTCATTGACCATCCACATGAATTGAGTAAAGGATTTAAAAGAAGTACTCTGACGAGCGACAAAGGTACATAAATTGCTCTTCCTCAACTAGTAAAACAATGAATAGATAAGAAAATAAAAGAGTAAGGGAAATGGAAAGGGAAAGGAAACGAGTCTATGGTTATGTATGTTCTGAGAGTCACTTCATCCACGAATTGGTTTTCCTAAGTTCATTGCTTGTTATGATCCCGCTAAAGGGGCTAGGAGGTGTCTTGGGTATTAGTTGACCTCATAAGCTGCTAAATGATGTAGATAGTCCTCAGGTGACGATCGAGGTTACATGTTGATATAAAGGTATGGCGAGTTGCGTTAGTTTGATTTAGGTTTGCTTGGGGACAAACAAACGGTTAAGTGAGGGGGAATTTGATAACACCATACTTGCACATGTTTTTTCCAGCATTTTTGATCAGTTGGCTTGGCATTTGATCCTTCTTTGGCCTATTTTATGCTAGGAAGTGCTTGTTTGTGATATTTCACGTCCTAGTATGTGAATGAAGGTTTAGTAACGAGTTTGAGATGATTGGACGAAGTTGGGACGTTTGACGAGGAGCCAAGGAAGCATGCACGACCTGAAATCCATCTTGCACGGCTGTGAAAGGTGGACCGTGCGGGGAGAAAGACACGACCTGGGTTGCACGAGCCGTGCAAAGCGACTCCGAACCATGCAGAGCGGCCAGTGATTTTTTCACGGCCAAGGCTCAGTCAAACACGACTGTTCAACAATCGGGCGCTGCCCTGCGTGGAACTAAAGTGAACCAACGCGTTTTAGGATGCATGGGCTGCATGACTGCTATGCATGGCCATGTGTCGACCATGAAATCGCGCAACTGAAGGTTCTAACCCCAATTTTGGGTGTTTTTGAGAGGGATCGGATTTTGGAGCTGAAAACATAGTCTAGAGAGAGAGATAAAGTGACAAATAGTGAACGTTCAGCTCCAAAATCCGAGAGATAAAGTGAATCAATTACTTTATCTAGGGTTCGTACAAATCATCTACATGATGATTTCCACATTCGACATTGCTTTGCACTTTCTCTCTCTAGAGTAATCCCCTCTATCACTTGGGTATGTAAGAACCCTAGATTTGTATGCCAGGAAGAGTTGTATGAATCCTTTGTCATGTTCATAATTGCATGAGTTTTGCTCAAATTCTTATGATTCCTGCTTTGACCTAGAATGATAGTCTTTGCATAGGTTAAAAGAGCAACCTGAATTGGAGGTAGTGAATCAATTACTTTAGTCGAGAAGTCGATTCACTGCTCTGTACTAGTGTAAACCAAGTAGAGAAAGTTTGAATTTTATTGCCTCGGTTAGCTTATACTAGTGGAGGTTAGTCGCCCACTGGGCATTCCAACTGAGAGGTTTTGGAACACTTTAGTCGAGACTCCAAACTGTTTAAGAACTTTTCGTAGTAAAAGAAGCAATCAAATTGAACTTGATCCTCGCGGTGGTCAATCTAGGAGGGCACTAATTCTTTTTGCGATCTATGGTTGGTCAAATATTCTTTGATTTGGTCTAATGCATCTGATCTAGAGCGACCGCGGCTGGGGGAAACGATTGGATTTCCTTCTCCTTTCTTCTGCCCCAACGATGGATACATACAACGAGTGATGGCGAGCAGCTTCCGGTGGCCTTGTAGTGACGATATGGAGCAACGACCAGTGGTTGGTAATGCAGTGATGATCTGGAGCTCTCGCGACGGTGGAGAGGAACGACGACGGTCTGGCGGTGATGACTGGTGATGGTACTAAGCCACAACGGGTCTATGGGGTTTCGGGGAACCCGTTACCCGGCGTTGGGCGGGTGACGACGGTTGTAATCAGGGAAAATTTATGCCCGAATTTTCCTGTGAAGTTTACGGCGACGACAGTTGTAAGGGAAAAGGAGTCAGAGGGTGGGCCGAGATTTCTCAAGGATTTATTTTGGTTTTAGTTTAATTTATTGTGAAACATGAGATGGAAATCATAAAATATTAAATTTTATTTATTATTGTTTTTTAATTTCCACGTCAGCAATTTAACGGTCAACTATAATAATTGATTGCTACATTGGCAAAATTTAACAGAGACTAACGGAGAGTGACCAAACTTGAACTGTTGAACTAATTTGAGTGACTATGGATGGAATAAATTAATTTTAGTGGCAAACATGAATATTTTAAGTAATTCTAATGACCAAACTAAGCAACCAACGACGACCGATCGAAAGTGCTTGTCGGTGGTGGATTTTGAAATCCCCAATCTATGAACCTTTTTTTTCAAGGCCTACGTCGTCGTCGTTCTTGCCCGACCCTTCTTTATCGTCTTATACACCAACTTTGGTGCGAAGCAGCCTCCAATCACCGCTGGGTGGAAGCTACTGGTGGTGGAAATTACTGGAGCTCAGTCACCACCTCAATCGCCAAAGCGGTGTCCAAACTTCCTGGCAGATCTACAAAGCAGGAGAGGGTCGATGGAGAAGAAGAGAGATGGGTTTTGATGTCTGGGTTGCGAACTCCAAAGAAGAAGAAAGGTAGATTAGAGGTTGGAAAAGAGATTGGCGGAGAGATTCAAGATGAAGGGGGAAGATCAGAAGTTGGAAGAGAGATTGACGGGGAGATTCAAAGAATAAGGGTAAGATTAGAGGTCGCTCTTCCGGAAGGAGTAGCGGCGGGGAAGGGAAGAAACAAAGAGTCTAATAGTTTTCTGGTTTTATTATTATAATATTTTTTCTTGGGCAATGTCTATTTTTTATCCAAATCTTTTTTGGATTCTTTTTTATTAGCCAAACCTATCAAAATACTAAGAATTAACCAAATGTTAACTTTCAGTTAGCAATTTTGTTAGTAATATTGACTTGGCAACATGATACTGATTTGGAAGAGACACATGAAGGTCAACATTACAAAATTTTAGCATTTTAACTAAGAAAAGAGTTCAAAATTATTAACGATAACGTAAAAATGGCTAATATTTTGATTCATTACGAAAGATTTGGATAATTAATAGCATTTTAATAGGTTTGGATAAAATAAAAGAATCTGAAAAATGTTTGGATAAAAAATAGACATTACCCTTTTTTCTTTATAATCCACGTCAATTAGTGGGGTAAGTCAATCACCAATTCAGATTCATCCGTTAGTCCAGTCATACCGTCAACTCATGCAATTAACAAAATGGACGGAATTGACTATTTGTAATTTGGATAATTATGACTATATTTGTAACAAGGGTAAAAGTTATGACTATATAAACAATAATAACGAAAGTATTGTTGCAGGAGGAGTTGAGGAATCGAACCAACTATCACAGCCCATCTGATCAAGTATATTACCGCCAGGCTGCACAGTAAATCATTTGTGACTTATGTCTAACTTTACTATATTTATAAATTACCTGGGGGAATGGGCCCCCTCCGCCCCTGCAATACGGTGTCCAAACGAAACAACGCTCGTTCAATGAACGAGAGACAGTCGCCAGTCGGAAACAAAACAAACCACCGCGAGTCCGTCTCGTCTCGTCGCCTCCAATTCCAAAAAACCCTGGTTCGCCCAAGGTCGACGGCCTCACCGCCGTCTCTCTCCATCTCGAACCCACCTCGTCACCTCCAAAAACCACCGCGACCTCGTCGCCTCCAATTCCAAACAACGCTGATTGTTGTTTGCCCCAAAGTCACCGTCGGCGGCATCATCGCCGCCTCCTAGTCCGAAGTACTAAAGTCTCAGGTAATTTCCTTCCCCCCTGCCAGTTCCAGTCAGATTCCCATGTGGAACTCAGATATACTGCATCTCTTATCCTCTTTATTTCCCCCCTTCTGGTGTAAGGCTACTTCTTGTGTTCCTTTGCACACGAAAATTTGAAGAATCAGCGCCAGATTCTGATACAAACATGGGAAGTGCCTTCACTATAAAGCACAACCATTGCTACTTTTCCTATCCGGTGATGCAAATTACCTGTTTAGCATGTTGAGTTCCGTCGCAGTGTATTTTACCGTCAGGTGTCAAGCTTGCTTGATATTCTTTTTACCCATCAATATAAATTTCTTGTGTTTTGATAGCCTTCAAATTTCAAATGCTGCTTTCGTGCTTTCACATTTCCAGACTATCTATGGGCATAACTTTGATGAGGTTTCTTGGGGGGTTTTCCTCTTCTTTCCCCTTGCAGGAACAACAGAAGTTAGTAGTTTTATAAATCATGGGAGATCGTAGGAGATGTTTGTCGCCTTTAACCTCATCAACCTTTCACTGCCCCAAGCCTGATGTCAATCCATTGTCAATTGACTCAGAACTCTGGTTAATGGCTGAGCATAGAATCTTTGAGATTTTGTGTTGTATTCAACCTGCTTCGGCATCTGAGAAGAAGAGGGATGAGGTTATTTCATATGTTTCGAGGTTAATTAAAGCTCATTACAGAAGTGAGGTGAGACTTCTGTCTGAACTTTGTAGATTGTCCTTTTTCTTTCAGTTCCTGTAAATCATCTCTATCCGTTAGTTTTTTCTTTGGTTGGTGATGTTGCCGACAATATTGAATCTGGGTTGGAATGGAAGTTTTCATTCCATTATCACTAGGACAAACTTATGGGTTATATGTCCTTCCTTTTAGTTTAACAAGATTGATTTTGGATGTTGTGTTCCGCAATTAGGGGTTTACATGTTGGTGATCTCGATTCTGATACTGAATCATCCATGCAGAGTCTTTGCTTCTCTTGTTCTCAAAATTGAAGATTACTAAGTAGTACCACTAGTAGTCTTTGAATGATAAGAAATTGGCCTGCAGTGATTGATTGGCTGGCTTGTTTTAAATTATGTGTTCACAGAGAACATACTAAAGTCGGTACAGTTTCACTTCCGTTTGCTTATGAATTTATTCATATGTCTTTGTGTTTTATTATCCTTTATTGCTGGCTCCTTATCTAATGGTTGGCTTCATTTTCCTATTATTTGGGTGTTAGTTTTTTTTCTTCTGTTAACGGTGTAAGTGATTGTACTGTATTGCTGAAAAGCTTGGATATGTCTTCCTTTACTAGATTCGGCTTAAAAAGCATTGTCTAAATGTCAGCGCTTGATGACCTTTTTTTACAGTTCGTTTGTTGTGGCTTACTAGATTTGGCTTCAGAATCTTTTCCTAAAACGCAACACGTGATGTTACAGTTTTGTATTTTATTTAAAATGACTCAATCGCTAGGGTTGTTTCTCGTGCTACTCTTTTTGTGCGTTTGCTAGTATTTGATCATGCACAATTCCAGTTAGATTAGAGTTTATTTATTTCTTTAGAAAAAGGGGGCTTCCTTGTGTATCTGACATACATCCCAAAATTTACTTCTTTTTTATGTCTGGTTTGACTCAACAGATGAAGGTATAGGAAATTCTGTCACATTTATTTTTTTAATTTTCTTGTGGAAATTAATGTTAGAGCTGCAAAGACATGCAGATTATTCATTGAGAAATATTTGGTTATACTTTTGCCATCTTTTACAGGTTTTTGCGTTTGGATCGGTACCCTTGAAAACCTATCTACCAGACGGAGATATTGACCTGACTATACTCAGCCACCAGAATACAGAGGAAGGAATGGCTGAGGGTGTGTCTGATATCCTCCAGGGTCATGAGCACGACCCAAAATTCGATGTGAAGAATGTCCAATATATAGAAGCTCAGGTTAACTTTCTGCTCTAATCACATGCGTTATACTGGATCTTTAGTTTGCTTATCCACCTGAAGTTAAATATCATGGTGTTAGTACAAGAACAAGTTTTCTTTGGACTTTTTTTGTCATCCCTTGCTAGCTTTTGATTTTCTTAGAGCCTTATACTTTTTATTCCTTTTGTGTTGAATCAGAACTCTGTTTTTTGCCATACCTTATTAAACAACCTTGGCATGGGGTCTAGTTCATGCAGATATATCACAAATCTTATGACAAAACATGGTTATGAGGGAAACTCACAACGACATCTCTTTCTGCCCTCCACCTTTTTTTTCATTCCCACTTGTGACTGAAAAAGGGCAAGCTTGAATTCACCGTTTTGCTTAAACTCCTGTGGGGTCTTTGCTTATTCATCAAGTTTCTGCAGTCCTTCCCTTGTATGTTGGGAGCAAACTTGTTGATCCTGACATTTGATAACCCAAATTATTATGTCTCTACTTGTGGCTGGTGATATTCCTATGCCCTTTGAAAAATGCGGTCGACGAATGGTATTCATTCACCTACCATTCAAAAATTACAACGGAGTACTTATACAAATAAGATATAAGCGAAGGGCGAAATTATACCAATAGTCCACCAAATTTATTTATATCGAAAATATCATGTGATTAGCGGCAGGTTTAAGGCTTGTGAAGTTCTACAGAACTCGACGTGAAACATGGATGTTGTGGCTTTACTAGATTTTGTTTTGGCTTTACTAGATTTTGGCAAACGTGCATGTTTAAAAAACTTGGTTGCCGGTCATACTAGCTTATTTTAACATTTGGCAGGAGAAGTTTCAAGTGATTATGGGTACAGTTTGTGACGTTTACAGAGAAATCAGAAAACAAAACGTTTTACCATGCACTTTAGTTAAGTATATAGAGCAGATATCTATGTTTCCCCAAATGATTGCAGAAACCTAGAAAAATTTTCAGACTTCCTCTTTTCCCATCAGACAGCATCACTGTCGGAGTTAGTGGTGACTGGAAACCAATTGTGAGTTGACTTTTCGAATTGGCAAACACGAGTAAGAATGCTTCAATGTTAATCTTAACGAGTAGGGCTACTACTGATAAGATTTATTCAAGTTGTGGCTGTTTTTTTATTTCTGCTAGTGGTGCTGTATTTCCATTCATAATCTCATCCTATTGATGCATTGTACAGAGGAAGGCTGAAGCCCTGTTTCATTAATTGATAATATTTCTGGAAGCAATAACTTTTTGTTCACTCTACCTACCTTCTGCAATGATCACTCTTCATCATGCAGTTCGTTTAGACTTGAATTGACATCAGTGACTTTCCAGTAAGCAACCATGTCATAAAGCTTGATATATCTTTTGGCGGGATTATGGCAGGTCAAGATCGTAAAGTGTTTGGTGAATGACATCTCCGTGGATATCTCTTTCAATCAAATGGCAGGTCTTTCCGCTCTCTGCTTTCTGGAGCGGGTAAGAAATGGCAAACATTAGATCCAATTTTGAAGAGTACGATAGCAGTAAATGTCTTGTACTGACATGTTTAGATTTCGTCCTTTACTGTTTTGTTGTACTTGCTAAACTCTACCCATCTCAAGCATTTGGGCTGGGGGGATTTCGTCCAAGATTGGCCTTAGCTCTACTCATGGTTGCATACGGAATATGTTAACTGATGCCTTATCTTGTTTTGCTGGAAACCAAAAAGTCATACTGCAAAATCTTAGCTTCATAATTCGACTTTCTTTGAGATGATAGGAGGCATTTCTTATGTTAATTAGTATCCTGTGAACTTGTAAAAATATTCTCCTTGCACCACTACTGTGGTTGCTCATCCCAAACTTTCCCAAAACCTCAACATATCCTTCTGTTATGGAACTATTTATTTTCCCAAATTATATATTCTGACGTACATTTCATTTCAATTGTTTCTCAGGTTGACCAAATTTTGGGGAATGATCATATTTTGAAACGAAGTATTATCTTGATAAAAGCCTGGTGCTTTTACGAGAGCCGAATCCTTGGTGCATACCATGGATTGATTTCAACATATGCTTTGGAAATATTGGTTGTGCATATATTCAACCTGTTCCATTCGTCCTTGAGTGGTCCTTTATCAGTGAGTGACATTCTAGACTCACCTAATTCTGTGTCTATTTACTGTTCTGTTAGTGATTCGACCTTGGTAATTGTTCCAGGTTCTGTATAAATTTCTGGACTACTATAGCTCTTTCGACTGGGACAACCATGGGGTGTGCATAAATGGCGTATTTAAAATATCTTCTCTTCCAGATATAGTGGGTAAGTCTTAAAATCATGAGGAGAGGTGGTCTCGGTACTTACACAGGTTCACTAGTGATTTGTCTCTGTTTACTATTTGGTTGCAGTAGTGGTACCTGCAGAGAATGGAAGTCGATTGTTGCTTGGGCCTGACTTTTACAACTACTGTAAAGAAACATTTGCTATTCCTGTTAAAGAACTTGACAGTGGGAGGCATGATTTTGTTGTTAAGCACATCAACATCGTGGACCCTTTAAAAGACAGCAACAACTTGGGGCGAAGTGTTAGTCGAGGTATGCGATTTATCCAATAATCATGTGGCATATGCCTACATTCTGAGGCATCTATTAGCCTCTTGCAAGAACGAATGAGGTTTTCAATTTCTCTTTTGTTGATTTGCCACAATGACACGAACCTATATATTATCCTGATTACAGCCTACTTTTTTCTAGTCATCAAGTCATGAAATGACATTTGACCTTCATGGCTTCTGAATACCTCCAGATATGGAAGAAAATATCCTGTTTGTCTGCGGTACAATACTGTTTGTATAAAGTCCTTCAGACTATTTTTTCCCAATACAGTACACTGTTGCATTCATTTACATGTTTGGATGACATACAAGAATATTGGGTTATTGCTTGGTACACATTTTGAAAATTATTAGGCGATTTCTCGTCAGATTACATGTTAAGCTTTTTCGGGTTCCATTTCCTTCCTTTGCTAGGCAATCTCCACCGGATAAAATGTGCCCTTTCCTTTGGGGCTCAGAAGCTTCGAGGAGTCCTCAACGGACCAGGAGAATATATAGGCATGGGATTGGAGAAATTTTTTGCTAACACTCTAGGCAGGAATGGGACAGGACAAAGAGCTGATGCTAACAGTCCAGTACCTGCATTTGGCACTGGAAGAAGTGACGCATGTGATCTCAATGGAGACTACGACAGATGCCATAGTGGTCTGCTGCAGGGGCAGTGGTATCACAATTACAGACTACCGGATCATTTTCATAACATTCCTTCAACCCTGCTGTCTCCTTCAGAAATCTTGTCGAAGAAGAGTCAAATATTTTCTTGGACTGGGCAAAATGGTCATCCTCAGAAAGGCACCAAAGCATTTTTGCAACGAGGGCTGCCAGGGCTTTGCCCTTGCCCTTCAAAACGCTGTACTACTGGCATTGATGGGTTAGGAAATTTAAGAGGTACGGGCACATACATTCCCGATATGGTAAGTCTAGTTTCTCCCACTGTTTATAGATAGTAGCATAAAGTTACCTGCCTTATCTATTTCAGTGAAACAGTAAAACTCGGTTGGTGCAGGCTCGTTACAAAGAAATATGGTCCAGGATGAAGAGCCTGGAGAATCAAGCTTTTCTTAATCAGGGAGCACCATGTCAATCTCCTGAGATGACTTACCAAGTCCTTGCTCAAGCTGAAGCTAACAGCTGGATTGATCTCCGACCAGAGAGTTTCCCTTTGCTTCCCTCTATCAACGGATCATCCAATTTATTCAGTGGTAACCAGGTGCATCATGTTGGTGATCATGGCTTTTTGCATCATCTCACCGACGAGTCTAGTTCCTCTTCGGGGCAAACAGATTTCAGGACTTCCAGTGAATCATCATCATCATCATCGTTCTTTCCAGCATCAGACCCAGAAGCTTCATTGGTTGGTGGGGACCAAGTTGATGATTCTCATTTCTCATCCAGTTTGGCTTTTTCTATGACAGAACACGAGAAACTGGAGGAATTAAGGTATGGAATTGTTTCTTTGAGAGCATTTTATTTATGTAGTGCAATCCTGAACTCTCTTCTGCTCTCTCCTCCTGGATGTTGTTGAGCTCTATAGGGTTGCAAGAGAAGAAGAATACTGTCAATTGAAAGAGGAGGATTTCCCTCCCCTGCCCAGTTATGTGGTTGAGCCCAATAGTGTTGCAAGAGAAGAAGAGTGCCAAATGAAGAACCTGGATTTCCCTCCTCTAGCAGGCAATTCTTTGGTTGTACCCTGTCGGGTTACAAGTGAAAAAGAGTACCCACTGGAGAACCAGGATCTCCCTCCTTTAGTTCGCGTCTCTGTGGTTGAGCCCTGTAGGGTTACAAGAGAAGAAGAGTATCAACTTAAGAACGACGACTTCCCTCCTTTGGTAAGCAATTGCGTTGTGAAGCTGTGCAAGGTTGCAAGAGAAGAAGAGTCGCTTCTGAAGGAGAAGGAATTCCCTCCTTTAGGCATTTCTGTAGGGCTGCAGGAGAAGAAGAAGAATTTGTACTGAAGGAGGATAATGATTCCTCTCATTTAGTAAGCAAATGTGTGAGCCATTACGATGAGTGGCTTGAGGAGTTGAAAGTTGGAGCTTCAGTCCGGACAGAAAAGTAGGGGTACGACCTAGAAGCGGTCATTTTTCTTGTTGCAGTTATAATTTTTCTCGTCTTCTTTGTCGAACCCATGAGAGGCATGCTGAATGGAAGCTGATTTTCTCCCAATTCCAGCTCATGTAGAGAGATCTTAGGGAAATACAATTCTGATTAGCTATCAGGTAAGCTCAACCCTGGTTTTTCTTTTGTTACAGGCTAGCGGCAGCAGTGATGTTTGTTTCAGTACACTGATTGAATGATTGATTATGGAGATTGAATTGCATGGGGTGTGGTTGGGGTTTGGATTTGGTTATAAAATGGTGCTTGGCAGTGGAAACAAATCCCTCAAACTCGCTGCAATTTCTTCATTTAGTGGCACCTCTCATCACTAGTCACCCACACCCACTTGTAATGAAACTCCCAGCGACTTATCTAATTTAGTGGCACCTCTGATCATTAGCCACACCTACGTGTAATGAGAAATTAAATGAATTGGAAGGTTAGTGGTTTATATTCTCGAGGAATTATTGGCTACACCGGGAGCACCACGTTGGCATATGCTGATTTGGTGCTCCCGGCCTATTAAAAACCGCCCCGTGTTCAGCTGCAGGAATTAATTATTTTACGGCTTAATTCACTCCTCTCTCATAATTATCTTCAGTTAATACTAACAATTAATCCACCCCTCTCTCTTTCATGCGCATCCTTCTTCTTCCGCCATTAATTTTTTTTATAATCAACTGAAATAATTTTCTCTTGCTTGTCTTACCAACTAATCCTCTTCTTAGCTCCGACGAAACAGCCACCGAATAACAAAAGCAAAGTACGAACTTCTATTATCGGCTCAGTGACTGTGTTGCCGACTTGCTGCTGATGGAGCTGTAGAAAGAGTCTAGCTTTCGGTAGTGGATTTGAAAGCATGGACATATATGACAAAAGATTCAATTTATTTGCAAATGCAAAGTTTTCTGAATTGGTCTATAACTTTAAAAATTTTAATGGCGAGTTTTACTCGCCGGCCGCACGTTGGGACGGAGATTGGAGAAGACAAAGGTGCATGAGAGAGAAAGAGTGATTAATTAGTTAGTATTATTATATTATTTGAAGAGATTTATCAGAGATGGTAATTGGGAATAGATAAACCGCAGAAAAAATTAAGCAAGTAATTAATTCTGGTAGATGGACACGTGGCGTATTTTAATTGGCCGGGAGCACCAAATCAGCATGCCAACGTGGTGCTCCCAGTGTAGCCAATAATTCCTCTATATTCTCAATTAGAAAATGGCACCATCCACCTTGAATATATAATTTAACATATGTTGGAACTTGGACGTTAATGACATTGATATATGAGAGTACGAATTGGTAATAATTGTGTGGACGATTTTGCTTGTATTCCCCTGTCCTTGGAGGTAGAAGGTGCGCGAAAGAAAACGTTTATTGATCTCTACTATAACAGATTTACCACTTTATAAATTTGTGATATTATGAGATTGATTTTCCAATTTTCCTTCGAATGTCTAGCACGTCTAGGCAATGCTTAAACAGGGCTAGACACTAGTCAAGCGTCTAACGCTCACCTAGTGCTTTTTTGACCTTATAGATTGACCATTACCTTTCGAGCTTATGTGTGACATCAACTGATAAAGGCTCTATCCAAGAATTAGGGATTAAGAGAATCAATGTGAGGTTGATCTCACTAAATGAAAGAAAGAAGACTTGGAAGGGAAGTTTGTAGAAAGGAGTTAGCGGAAGGAAGAAGAGAGTTCGGCAGAGAAGGGGGAAGAGGGTCGGCCGACTGGGAGGGAAGAGAGAGAAAACTTAGGATTTAGGGTTTAATTCGATAACTGTTTAATGAACTATCTCACTAATTACAGGATATATAATATCCCGCTAATACCCTTCTACTCCCTCGATTTTTGGAAAAAGTCCAAGTGTACCACTGTTAAAAAAGATTACAAATATACCACCTAAATCGAAAAAATTCCAAATCTACCACCATTATTTGAAAACCGCCACCTTTTCATATGAACCGCGTGCTGAGGTCGCGGTTTATGGGATAACCGCATGGGGAGGAGGCTTTTTTTTTTTTGTACAATCCGCCCTCTAGAAGTGCGGTTCATTGGCTGCCCCCACACACAAACCGCCTCTTCAAGGAGTGGTTCTTCGTCGACAATAGAAACCGCTCCTTGAGGATGCGGTTTGATAGTGTCGATACACAAATCGTTCCCTCTCCCAGCGGTTTGTGTGTCGTCACCATTCCCCCGACATCCGACATGCAGGGGGTGGGGCTGCATGCATGCAGACTAAAATCGCCCCCCTCTGCGGTTTTTTGTCAAAAATTTGCCTATAAAAGGCAGCCCTGAGAAGGAGGCGGAGGTAATTCTGGAGATGGCCAAACATCTGATATCCACGGTGGAGGTGGATTATACGAAGATCATCCCTACCAAAGTTACCATTATCCTCGTACCTACCATGAGTACCAGGAAGGAGGTGGAGGTCATCAGCAATCCTTCCCATCATTTGCAGAAGAATCCTTGATTCGGGCCTAATTGCACATGTTTTGCCCCCGTTATACTTAGATGTTTGTGCCAAATTCGCTCCTTAAAGGTTGTTTTTACGCTAGGTTCTTCGTGTTTGAGTGTGTTTCAGGATTTAACAGGTGAAACTAGCCTCAGAGTCGAAACGTTGGCGAAAAGAATCGAAAACCGGGAGAAGAGGTGAAAAAGAGCTAGTTCACGGCTAATTGAAGGAGTTCACGATCGTGCAAGACCGTGAAGAAGAGGAGTTGACTGTGAATAACGAGGCGTCCAGAGCCAATGTGAAGGTTACTGACGCAAGGTGAGTTCACGGTCACTAAGACCGTGAACACAGGCAATTGACCGTGAACAGACGTGAGCGATGCGGAGTGTTTTGGCGCTCGCCTTGAGTTCACGGACGCGTTTGATGGTTCAAGGCCGTGAACTCAGCTCATCTCGGGTTTAAAAGATGAGCTGAAAGGAGGAGAGAGGAGAGAGCCCACTTTTGTGTGAAACACCTTCTTCAACATTCTAGTGAGAGAAACAGAACCAAAGGGAAGAAGAAGGTTAGAGTTTGGCTTCAAGGCAGATTTTGGGAATATTTCCCCCAAGGAAAGCTTAACTCAAGGGTCAAGAAGACTGAGAGCATCCTCCAAGATGGTTTCCACCTTTTCCCCTTTTGTTCTTTCCACTTCTAGCATGGAGTAGACCTCCTTTCACTTGGGTGTAGTGAAACCTAACTCTAACATGTAGTTTTCTTGTATGTGTTTTGGATGACTGTCATTGGGTATTGTTAAATTCAATGATTAATGCATTATTCACCATGATTGTGCATGCTTGTGCTTAGCAACTTAGGGGTTGTGCATGTTTTGAGCTTAGCATCCTTAGGTTTGTGCATTTAGGTGCTTTGCAACCTAAGAATTGTGCATAATTGTGCTTAGCACCCCTAGATTTGTGCATTTACGTGTTAATAATCTAATTTGCCACCTTAGCCTAGTTTAGAGAGGAAAATTCCCCTTTCAAGGGAGACTCAATCGAATTGGTTTTCATTCCGCTTTCTAAGCCACCTAAACTAGGTTAAGTTAGGGCGACCCTCAATATTGAGTTAAGCAAGTCGATTATGCGTGACTAAACCGTCCGACCTTAGAGTTGAGTGACGGAGTAAGTCAAATTACCGATTCTCTAAAACGAGAGGGTCGAGTGACACGGCCTTTCATCCTTACCTCGGTTTAGCAATTGAGATGCGGTCTCCGACCACATATGCATCCCTCTGCGATTCGCGATTATCGTGCCCAAAGGCATCGTTCCAATTCACATAGCATGGTAGCGGTTAGGGGGAAGCGACACCCAAGTGACTTTCCCACAAAAGAGTTTTCAAACCCAATCATCTTTGCTTTCTTTTATTTCAATTAGCAAACCTTTAAACCAAAGTTTTGTTGCTAGATAATGATTTCAACAACGAAAGTAGGGATAGACGGACCGGCCCGGGTCGATATCTAAATACTTGCCGTATACTGCACCCGATTAGAGTTTAAAAACTTGGGCTCTAATTGGGGTTTTATTGTGGTGTAGTTTCATGCGAGTCAAGTTTATGGCGCCGTTGCCGGGGACTACGCTCTGTTATTCTGAAAAAGTTGTTTGTTGTTAATCTTGCTTTTAATTTCCAGTTTTGCAAGTGTGTGTTCTTTGCTTGTGCTAGACTTGGTGTTTTCTGATTGTGTGTAGGTGGTGCATGACCCGGAGCAAACCGACACCCTTGCTACCACTTGATGAGGACATAAACCGAACTCTCCGACTCCTAGAAAGGGAGAGAGAGCTAGCCGAGGCAATGAGAAGGAGTGAAAGAGGGGGACAACAATTGAGTCCCGGTGTTAGTGGAGAAGGAGTTGAATAAGTCGAAGTTGAATCTGTCGTTGAAGAGGAAATGACGGGGAACCAAAGACAAGATGGAGGCGCTCAAGCCCGCCATATGAATGAGGCGGCGGGAGAAGAAGGAGCCCCGAGGACGATGGGGTACTATATGGCCCCAAGGCCGGCGGACATTCAATCGCCGATCCTACATCCTCCGTAGGCGGCAAACAATTTCGAGATCAAGCCGGCTCTAGTGACTATGATACAAAGTAATGCCCTATTCCACGACCATGAAAGCGAGTAACCAAGATTGCACGTGCAGAGATTCTTGGAACTCGCGGGGAGCTTGAAAATTAATGGTGTGCCAGCTGAAGCTTTGCAACTAAGGCTTTTCCTGTACTCACTCTCGGGGAAGGAACTTAGGTGGTTAAACAACCGCCCACCTCGGTCTATCACCTCATGGGACGACATCCTCAACAAGTTTATGGCTCGTTATTCCCCGCCTTCGAAGACGGCGGAGTGGAGAAAGAAGATTACACATTTCGAGCAAGAAGATGACGAGACCTTGAGGGATGCTTGTGAGAGGTACTCCGATTACTTTCTTCAGTGCCCTCACCACGGGTTTGAGGAACAGTTTTGGATTGAAACCTTCTACGGAGGCCTAATGCAAGAAGATAAGATCCTCATTGACTCCTTGTGTCAAGGGAAGTTGATGAATATGGCTCCGCCCCAAATAACCGAGATCCTTGAAGATATGGCCCTTAGGGGGTATGATTGGGGGTTGACTAGAAGTGGAAGAAGAAGAAATGATAGGGGAGTGAGAAGCGTGGGAGCGAGTGCTCCGCTTGAGGCAAAGCTGGATAAGTTGCTTGAGGTTATGCTTGAAGATAAAAGGCAAGGAAAACGGGCGGTAATGTCGTGCGACTGGCGCTCGAGTACTAGCCACGAGATGGCGAAGTGCCATGCAATGAAGGAGGCAACCA